GGAAATGGCTCTGTGAAAATGGGATGTTTGGAGCAGCTGCTACCATTTTGTCAACATGAAAAAATCAACCAGGACACAAAAGGTAACGGGTTGAGAATGCCAGAGCAGAAACACTGAAGGGCTCTGGGTTCTAGACGACTTTACTGAGCTGATGCAATTCCCAAGCCTGTGCCTAGGCCCGGTCTTCCTGTTATAAGACCTTAATGTCTTTGTTACAATAAAAACATTTATTGCTTAAGCCATTTTGAGTTGAACTTTTTTTGCTCTTCAAATGTGAATAAAGCATCCTAAGTGATAAACTAAAGCAGGAGAAATATAACATGAGATGACATGCTACTTAATATGTTCACACATTCTTATAAAAAACTACTTCAGCAACACCACAAAATAGATTACTTCTATTTTTTAAGTTAGGAACTGAAAATATATCCAATTAGAGCAATGGCTAAAAGAAACAAATTCCTGAGAAAAATGTTTTGATCAACTTTCTAAATATTAGAATTTTCATGCTCTTATTATCAATTCTGACTACTCTTGGCTAAAAATGAAGATGTCTTCTTAATGATGCTGTGCCTCTCATTCTCACCATTTGTCATTTCATGAGAAGGACATACTCCAGTGAGCGGGGTACCCTGTTCCCTGCAGAGTCCCCCTGGGTCGCCGTGGATGGAAGAAAATAAGTTGTTTCAGACACTTCTCGGTCTGCCAGGAAAAGGGGATGGTGATTCCCTCTAGTGGAGAGTGCCCCGAGCCCTTCTCTTGAAATGGCTTTTATTGAGAACAATATGCGCAGGGGAATACAGCATGCATGCAAAGCTCATCAATTGATGTCAAAAGGCTATGATTGAAGGAACACACAGGTTTGCCTCAGGTCAGGGTCTGGTAGGCAGGGTGGCACACATTCTGCCCTGAAACCTGGGGAACTGATCACACTCTATGCTCAGACCCCAAACATCAGTACTCATTAACTCAAGGACATTCTTAGCAAAGTAAGTTTCAGAGGATTTAATGCATTCCTTTTCTAGGCCTACTTGTCCCCAGGAACTGACTGATCCAGTTTAGGGCTGTACCTGCCTTTACTATTGTTTCACTGACCTGGTCAGGTGGCAGGCAGAGCAGCCAAGAGATAAGGAGACTTCTTTCAGATAGAATGACTCTGGCCATGACAAAGCCAAGGGGTGAGGGTCTTTTGCCCCTTCTTCGTGTCCCCCAAGTCCTTCCCTGAGGGCCTCCAGATGATTGTGCCTGTCTTAGATTACCCCTGCTGAGGGGTCTTACCCATCATTGACTAACCAGCCATCCTCGGGGGCCAAGCAGGGTGATGTGAGGGCACAGCCCCTGCCAGGGGGACAGGTTTTGTCTCCTCAGTGGCCTATTTTCCCAAGGCCTCCTTGCTCAGCTCTAGCCTGGGGGCCCTCTCACCTGTCGGTGAGGCTACAGTCCCTGAAACCAAGCGAGACAGTTCCCAACACTCCAGAAGATCCTTATGCATCTAGAGTTCCTTAACCTTCACCATACAGTTGATAACTTTTCATTTCCCAGGTGAGGCAAAGTATATGGTAAATTGGGACTGTCCGTCATAATGAAGCCAGTTTCACCTGAGAAGTTGCTGTGAGCAATTTCTCATAAAGGCGCCTCTCACTTGTCTTCAGTTCCAGCAATAAGTTTTCCATACAGATATGTTGAAAGGTGTAATTAAAAATTGACCCCCCCTTTTTTTTTCTAAAACAAACATCCAAAGGATTAGTTGTTTCTGGGAAGATCCTATTATAGTTGTAAGAAAACACGCAACAGTTTGGACTTGTTTTTCATTCCTTGCCAGATGTGTTGTGCGTTAGCAGCATACAGGTGAAAATCAGGCTTCTTAGAGATTTAACTGCTTCTGGATGTGAGATTTATGAGGTCTCATCAGCCGGATGTAGGGATGTCTGTGGCTGCCTCAACCTGCTTCTCTGGGCTAATGACTACCTTTGAGTCATCCTCCTGTCTGGAGATTTGCAGCACTCCAGGTGGGAATGAAACAAAGCGTTCAGGAACTAGTCCTCCATCTACTGAGAGTTTTCTGATTTTCCCAAAAGACTGTTCATGACCTTCGGCCATAGCAGGATGAACCGGAATAGACTGAGCCAGATAAATAGATTTTGTCCTCTTGTCTATGGCTCTGATCACTGCTGGGTCAAAGTGCTTACTACAGAGGCACAGCTTCTTCAAGGGTCATCTAAGGAAAAAGGGTTTATTGAATCTAACAAAAGGTTTGTGACATACAGAGTCCTACTCTATCCCTTCCTGGAGATTTCACAATGCATACTGCATATTAGGGACCCTGAGAAATCTTACAATCAAGATCTTTTCAATCTTTGTATAACACAGCCCTTCTCAAATTTAAGTATGGGATAGTTCTTTTCACATAAGGACTTGTGTTCTGAGGAAAAGACATTCAAAATCACTTCTCTGGGCTGTATCTGTTTTCCTCATTTCTGCCTCGCCTTCTAACGGATGGGTTGTGTGCGCGCATGCGCTCGTGTGTAAAATGCATAGGTGAGGGGAAGGTTGGGGCTTTTAATTGAACCAAATGAAAAGAGAAACTCAAAAAAGGTGGTCTACAAAATAAAAGCAAAGATCCCCCCCGCCCCTCTGAAACGAGGGAACTGCACAAAATTTACTTGGCATTTATTGAGAACATACTGTCAGATACTATTTTAAGTGCTTTATAATTATGAAAACATTTAGTCCTCAAAACCACCCACTGAGGTGACTACTTTCATTCATCAACAGTTCTGCCACTGAATTTTCTCCTGGACAGATAAAGACGGCTGCTGCTCAGGGAGGTTAAGAAACTTACCCTAGCTACTGATTACCCTTTGAGCTAGGGTGGCTGGTTCTGGAATCACTCCTCTTCACCATTTGCAGACTGCCCTGTGAACTCTCCAAAGGCAGACAAGCCAGAGAGATCCCACATTTACCCGGCATGGAGACATGGGCCTGTCATTCCTGGGACCCACAGAACCGTCTTCAAATAGCCCCTCTGCACTTTCTAGCTATGTGACTTAGGGATGTGACTAATCTGTTTCAGGTCATTTCATGTAGAAAAGATTAAAAAAATACCTACACACTTCATGAGGATGCTGTCAGCCACGCTCAATATGTCCACTACTGTTGAACTAGGGTCACAAGTCTCCACCTATGGCCCCTGGGTCTATCCTCTACTCTTGTCAGAGTAACACCGTCTACCACTGAAGACAGGTAGTGCACCACCGTTCTCCAGGCTAAATATCGCCCGATTCTTTAACTGTGTCCCCCAGACTATGACCTTCAGAGTGCTTTTCCTTCTGCTTCTACTTTCAACAGCTCTTATTCCAGTGTGGAATTCTGAGCACTCTTTCTTGAATAAACCATAAAAAAATTTTTTTCTTACAGTCCTTAAAAAGTTGAAGTTAATTTCCTAAGAGATGAAACAGTCAGTACCAGTATAAACTAAAATGTTAAACCTAAAACAGATTTTTATTTTGAAAAGTTTGTTTTCTTTTTAACCTATTTTCCTTCCCATAATGAACACATTAATGCAACAGTTACAGAGTTTTAAGATGGGCCAGTTCCAGGGTTGTGTTTGGCACTGGCTGAATGAATGATTGCATATTTTTCTTCTCTGTCACTTTAGTAAGAACTGAGCCTTCAGATGCAAGAAGATACTTTAAGGAGGACTTGACCAAATGACCTCTAAATTCCCCCTTAATCTTCAGAATCTGTGACTCAAGGCTCCTGCAATTTTGCTCAAAGTAAACATATACTGAAGTCTTCTTCATTCCAACGCAGTAAGTTGATTACATGTTATTTAAAGGAAATTTCATTTGTAACTCTAGTATACATAACTTTTGAACATGTTTCCCATTTCCCTTTTCTTCTTGGGGACTGCTTCTTCAGAGGGTGATTACATTGGTTTTAAAGTGGTGTATCTACTCATGCTGTTTATTTTCCAATTTGACATGTTAATTCCCCTCTCTATTTTGTCAGCTAATCCTTTAGTTATTTCCATCAGGTATAAACAAATGTTTCCAGTTATAGAAACACAGGCCAGCAATATCCCCTATTCCAGAAGACTAAGAATTCCTGATGAGGCAGTGGCCCTTTGAATTCCTGGCACAAATACAGGCAAAGGCCCAGCTTATCTCATCAGTTCCTTTGACGATGTGGGCGTGGTCTGGGACAGGGGAAATGGAAGAGCTTTGTGTGTAGACCTGTGGCCAAAACTGATCATCAGTCACACAACCACCTCCCTCAGAAATGTTCACAGAGAGCAAAACAGTGAGGTTTTCGTAAACAGTGACAAAACGAAACACGGGGACCAAACATAGTCTGTCTTTTGAGGTCACAGACTCACTCCATTTACTAAAATTGAACAATAGTTAACTCGTCTGTATGTGTGTCCATTATTACATGTTTTAGTCACTAGCTAGTTCCATCTTTTTTACAGGAAGTGTTTCTTGGTAAAGAATTTAGGAATTTAATTAGGGAAGAAATAAAAGCAGAAAGTATTAAACTTTTATCAATTAAAGTTTATAAGGTCAAATCCTCAAATGTCATGTCAACCATACCATGTATACAAAGATACACAAATTAGATATACAGATACCAATGCAGGCGTTATTTATTGCCTCATTTTGTATTGAACTTTATTGAAACCTCCACTAGTGCCTTGAAAAATACAGAAACTTGTTAAACATATATTAATTATCTGGAGGAATAAAGACACTCCAAAGGCTTATTGTCAAAATTCTGGAAAAGGAGAATTTCTCTCTTCAGTGTTTTGAAAATCGGTATCTAAATAAGTTCAGTTTAAACTAGGTTAGTAACTTAAGTCTTCTTCATTGAGCTGTTAACATTGAAAAAAACTTCAAGTTCTAAACATATAATAATAAAGACATTCAAATTGAAAATGAAAATTTACTTTCTATTACAGTTTTCTGGACAAAAGGAGATGAAGAATTTTTTTCCTTATTATACTTTCTTATAACAAACACTGTCAATTTTCTTTTCTTTCTCCTTTTTTTTTTAAAGTAAAGTATATCAGAACTGTGGTTGAGAAGACTAACATTAGTACTTCTCATCTCTCTTCTGGACGCCCTAGACACATTTCTTCCTCAAAATGACTTCTTCATTTTTCTTCTCTAGAGTTTCTTTGACTTAAAATAATGGCTTGAGGAAGATCACATCAGACTTAGTGGCTCTGTGCTATTTTTTAAATGTGAGGCAAAGTTGGGCTGGTTGATAACATAACTCATTAAAATGAGTTGTGCTTTCAGAGCCCTGGGCTGGCCCAGCAGTTTGAGAGGCCTTGGTTCTGTTTGTAGCTAAATATAGAGTCCATTCTTTCAGCAGCCCATTGATGTGGCTGAAAAAGTCCAGGAAATAGATTACGTTGAATGCCACTGTTGAGAAGAGATTTACATTTAATGCTGTTGTTATAGGTAAAGTATTCCCTTGAGCAAAAATCTCATTTACTCAGTGTTTAGAGGAAACACTAAGTTTCATAGCCATAGTTGCCTTTCTCTGTGGAAAAGATTTTAAATCTGCTACTATCATTACCTTTCAATTCCTTTTCTTACAGTCACACATGCTCTGTGATCTAAATTTCTTAAGTTCATTTAAAATTAGAGAAAAATTTCAGGAGGATAAAACCAAGCACAGAGTAAAAAACAAAAACCAACACAGTTTTGCCATTACATTTTCTCCTGGATAACTGAGGAAATATTCCTCATTTCCATTCTGTTTCAACACTGGAGAACCATATACTCATGACTCAACAGTGAAGCGATGTGCACATGAGTGACAAAACATGAGAACCAGAAAATACAAATGTAAATTAAACTTTTAAAATCCTAGTGATACTACAACAGCTTCTTTCCTTATTTATTCTGTTAATGTCCATCCATCTGAAGTCACATTTTGGTTCCAGGAGGCCATGCACTGTAAGCCCTGATCACAAAGACTGCTATTTGTAGGCAGTTAATAGCCTGTTGCCAGGTATCTTCTGGTGGCAAACCTGTGAAAGTCTGGAAGACTAATAAAAGCATATTCTGATTATTTGTTTTCTGGATTCGGAGGACCATGGAAATAGAAAAGGATAAAAACAGGGCATACTGTTCTTGAAGTTTCTTGAACTGGGAAGTAGAAAAATAGGTGTTTTCCTTTGGGTTTTTTTTTTTTTGTTTTGTTTTTTTGTTTTTTGTTTTTTGTTTTGTGTGTGTGTGTGTGTGTGTGTGTGTGTGTGTGTGTGGCCGAGAAGGGTGAGGTTGGTATTTCTGAGAGCATTTTTTCACTTTCCTCAGTCTTTAATGGAGTGGTAGGCTTTGGCAGTCCGGCTGTTGACAAAATCTGTCTTCTTAAACTGAGCCTTCGGAATAAGCAAACAAAAATGTGAATGATAACATTTTCACCCATAAAAGTGCAGTTTTTAGCGACTTCTCACCAGGGCAAGTGAAGTAGGCCACGAGGATCTGGTTCCATTTACTATGACACATGCCTTTTTATTTTTTTTAATTTTTATTTTTTAATTTAATCTTTATTGTACTTTTCTCTTTCCATTACCATTTAGTCCTCTTCTACCCCTCTCCCCTCAAGCGCCTTTTTGGCACTCTTACCTTCTTGTAGGCGTTATGGAGCTCCGTGTGCGTCCACAGAGAATATAAGAGAACAGAAGCCGCCTTACTTGCTTTGTTGGAGACATAGCTGAAAGAAGAGAAGGGCATTCCGAGATCAGTGAGAATGTGTGTGAGGCTTCTGGAAGTGTTCACTAGTCGTTCTGTGAATCTTCTTGAATTGCTGTTGCTCTGTAACCAACCACTAAGTCAGGCTACTCGCAATGACAGGAGAATTAAATGGCAAGATTCAGAAGCCAGGGCCCACTTTTTAACATTTAAAAAAATCTTTTAGTCCTGCTCAGTGTGGCTCAGTTGATTGGAGAACTGGCCCATAACCAAAAGGTTGTGGTTTTGGTCTCTGGTGTGGGCAGGTGCAAGGCCCGGTCTGGGCATGTGCGATCCCTGCTCCGTGTGTGTATGGGAGGCAACCGATCAATGTTTCTCTTTCTCCCTTTCTCGATCTCTAAAAGCAATGAAAAAACGTCCTTGGGTGAGGATAAAAAATTCTTTTAAAACCACTAACACAGTGCTAACAAATAAATAGTTTATAGAACAAATTCTTGATATTTATAAGGAATATATCCTTAGAGATGTTACAAATCCTTCAATTTATTTGCAGAATACAACTTCTTTGGATATTTATATTATCATGCATAGAATATAAATATTTTTGTATGTTTAAAATGTGCGTGTATACATATATTTTGCATTCTCTCTCTACATATTTACAGTTAAAATGTAGGAAAGAATGACAGAAAAATATACATCCCTCTCTGAGGCTGAGTGACCCTATGAAGGCAGGAGTAAAGTAATTTTTTCAAGTTAAATAAAATAAATTCTTGTTGGAGCATCTGTTAAGTGATTATAGTTTCAAAGTGTCTTTGCTTTTGTATAGAGCAAATATAAAATGTGTTCCTATTTTAAATCTAAGTTACCACTAAATTTGACATTGTACTTAGTTTTTAATGTTCTGCTGTTAAATTTGTCCTAAATTTCCTGTTTCTGGCTGAGAAGAAAATGCTTTCTTTGATCTCTCTCCTTTCTATCAGCAGAACTAGCATGGGGCTGAATTTTTTCTTTTAACAAAGAAATATCTTTTATTTTTCCTACCATAAGAGTTTGTAAACATGCGACCAAGAGCAGAGAATGCAAAGCTGTATAAAGAAGCACATGCTGCTGGCTGGGTTCATTCATTACCTGAAAGCCTTTCTCTTTCTCACAGCCTGGCAGACAGGGTAAGAGAAATCAGCAACTGACAGATTTTTTTTTTAGTTACTTCATAGACTTCTCAGAGTAGCTTGCTCATAGCTAAGGTACTCTTTAATCCATAAAAGCTATGGTTCTCTAATATTTAAAACTGGATGAAATTTTTAAACAGCAAGTGAAGGGGAACAGAATATACCCCCCCAAAATATACCTGTGTGGTATAAGGATTTCATTCATTCATTCATTCATTTATTTATTTAAGGGGAAGGGAGAGCGAAAGAGTGGGAGAGAAGCAACAATGTGAGAGAGAAACAGCAATTGGTTGCCTCCTGTACACGCCCTGACTGGGGATTGTACCCACAGCCCAGGCACGTGCCCTGACTGGGAATCAAACCAGTGACCTTTTGTTCTGTGGGATGAAGCCCACCCAACTGAGTCACACTGGTCAGGGCTGGTATAAGGATTGTTTTAGGCTGACTATTTTTAAGAAAGAGCAGACAAAGGAAAAGCTCTGAAAACTGAGAAGTTACCCTTTTGAAAGAGACATTTACATTTATAAGAGAAATCTCCATGTGTAAGGAGTATACCAGAAAGTGAAGGATGACTAAATCTTCAGACACTTTTATCAATGGAGAAGGCAAAGACTTAAATCTGCATAACCCTTGTTTACTGTGCTCATTAGAATTGGGCTATAACAAATTTTGTTTTCTCTTTTGGTTATTTACAAAAGTAACTTGTCTTTAACAAGTCAAACAATTCAGAATTATATAAAGAGGAAAAGATAATCTTCATGCCTCTTCGGATCCCACCACTCTAAATTAAGTAATAGTAATAATTTGGTCGCACAAGGTTTTTCATTCTCTTCCTTTTTAAATGGGGAAAATTCAAAGACAGAAACAGGGATGTGGAATGATGTATATGCATTAGACCTCTATTCTCAGTGGTGAACAAGACGTGGAAGGAGATGTGATAGATCAAACTGAGAGAGCAAGGATTTATTATGCTGCCTCTCATTTCTTGTTATCATTATTTCTTCTTAGCCACCTGGTCCAACACTGGCTCTACAGGTCTCTCAGCGAGGAAAAGGGTATTCCCTGTCCAGGCGGCTCCCTCTCTGCCTACTCTGCTGTTCTTCAATCACAGCAGTAGTTCTGGGAAACAAATTAATTCATTAGGTCAATGAAATGCTGGAAGTATGGAGTTTGACTATCTCTGAATATTGCCCATGGTCTTCCCTCCATGACCGAATGTTCACAACTAGATGTACATATGGGAGTGGTAGTGGGGAAAGGGGAGAGAGCCGATGGTCAGATGCCAAAGGACCTACCTATCGTCTGCGCTGATGGCCATAATTTTGTGCAGGCCCCCAGTGTTTAGAAGATCCCGGGCATTCTGGTAACTAGTCTGGATTATGTTGTTCAATGTGTAACAGGCAGAGGCTGTTGTTTCAATGAGAAGATCAGTAGTTGGGACTGTGTCGGGAATTATGGAAACCAAATCAGGTAGAGTTTCTTTGGCTACAAATGAAAGAAAAAGAACACCTGATTCAAAAGATTGTTTTGTAAACACAAGATCCCAATATGTTTCAGGTAAACAACATTTTAAAAAGGAAACACAAATGGTTAACAAGCAAATGGGAAGATGATAACCTCTCTATAATACTCAAGTTTTAATAGGATTTTTAAAAAGAATTCTGTGCTCAATATACTGGAAATCTTTTCAGAAAGCAATGTGATAGAAATGTCAAGAATGTAAAAAATTTTCATGTTCTTTGATTCAGAAATTCTACTTCCGGGAATTCATCCTAAAGATATCACTTTAAAAATGGAAAAAGCTTTATGCAGAGATCTTCATTATAGTATTACATATAACTAAAAAATATAATAAGCCTAAATATCCCAATAATAGAATACAATTAACTAAAATACATCGTAAAGAATTTTATGCATCACAAAACATATGCAGGAAGCATGTAAATAACAAGAAAATATTTATATCAATATTCTGCATGAAAAATCCATATACTTATTTACATAAAAATATGTAATATAACATTAGGAAAGAAAATACACATAAGCAACCCTAGAAGAAATATATTAAAATATTAATAGTTGTTTTCTGTAACAGTACTCATGGTTACATAAACATATTTAAAAAGAATTATCTGGATTGCACAAAATTTCTTTAATGCACCAATAATACTATTATTTTAAAAAGACAGATTATTTTAAATTCATTTTTTCACTATATATGTAGGTTCTTGGTAACAGGGTTTTAGTTTGGTCTCTTTGTAATAACAGGAGAGGTATTAATAGTTTATCGTTTCATTAAAACTTGGTCTATGATATATATTTTGGGCAGTATGAATTTGTACATGACTTTTTGCAATAATTCTTTCCACATGTGTTTTCTTCTTTTTCTCTGACTACTTTGAACTCTCCTTAAAAGATATGTGGCATGTTCCTCTGGATTTTGCTGCTCCTCATGCCAATTTAATACAGTGTTGTATTTATCACAGTTGTACAACAAATAGTTCTGCTTAATTTTGTTATTTTTTCATCTGAATTTATGTGGCATCTTGAACTGTACTTCTTACTCTGTGATACTGGATTGTAATTAATTATGTGACTATCTTAATTCCAAATGTGGCTACAGGTTCCTTGAGGACAATTCTTTTATTCATTTTTGGATTTCCAGTGTCAAGCACTATGCCTGTAACAGACAGGTGCTGAGTAAGAGCAACTAAACATTATGTCGTCCTTTGATAATATCTGGATATGAGTGACAGAAAAGACATACTTTCTGCTCAAAGGCCAAGCACTTGATTTATTTTTTACTATGTTACGCCTCTGAAGCCACACTTCTTTAGTTTCTCTCCTGTCTTTGCCACTTAATGGCTGTGTGGTCTGGGCAAGCTACTTATTTTTTTCTAGGCTTGATTTTCCTAATTTGTAAAGTGGGGTAATAATAGTATCTACTTCACAGGGCTGTTCTGAGGGAATGAATCAGTTAATATGTGTTACTCTACTATTGCTCCCTGTGCATAGGAAGCTTTCAATAGAGGTGAGTTATTATCAGAAGGCTTCTTCTTCTTAGTAAGTCAAACCACAGAGAATTAAAGGCCTTAAGAACATGAATTTTCCTTCCACTGAATTTAGGTTGAAAACATAAAAATAAGTACAACAATCACAACAGAAAATGCCCAATCTATCTCTGCAGGATGCAGTAATGGCTGCTGAGATGCCAGCTGCCCATGCTGAGAACAATTTCTTTTCTTAAAAAATTTATTTATTGATTTTGAGAGAGAGAGAGAAAAATCGATTTTTTGTTCCACTTATTCAGGCACTCATTGGTTGATTCTTGCATATGCCTTGACTGGGGATCGAACCTGCAACCTTGGTGCACTGGGACGATGCTCTAACCAACTTGAGCTACCGAGCCAGGGTTTGAGACCAATTTCTGATGAGAGAGAGCCGCACCTCTCCTGCCTCATCCCAACCAGCAAGAATGTCCACTGCTGCAGATCAATTTTAAGGTTCATGTCTAAGGAGGAGTCACAGGATCATGTCTAAGGAGGAGTAAGAATTAGAGAAGATAGAGTCTTTAACATTTTGTATCATTTGCTTTTCTTAGAAAAGTAGTATAACTGTTTACATCAACAAAGTTTAACACTACAATACAGGAAGGTTCTCTCAGTATTTCTCTCTCTCTCTCTGCATATGCACACTCACACACACACATGAAAAGTAGGGTAAAAGTAGCTTTACAGTTGTTCATACGGAAAACAATAATTAATAAATAATAATACAAGAATAAACTCATGTACTCACAACTGTAAAACTACTTTTGCCCTACTAAGTACACACACACACACACACACACACACACACACACACACACACACACAGTGAGGGCCTCCATAAATAATTTCACTCACTGTGGGACAATTAAAATTGAATCTTTAATAGTGAATTATAAAACTAAAGCCCTCATCATGATATTGGAAGGTTATAGCACAATGGCATATTGTTCAGGGAGATTTTACTTAATGGTTAAAAACTCAATGCCTTAAAAAGCCAAGACAGTAGCTGGATGTTTGAAAACATCTGTAACTATGAATAAATGTGAACCCAGATTCTAGAGATGTATCCAAATACTTCCTGCTGCTTGTGCACACTGTACTATGTTATCTGACCCTGTGGAAAACACTGCTAGGTAGCAATTGATTCTTCATCTCCCTGCTTGGACCAGTTAAATGACTAGCCACGGTGACCTGGGTGGCCAGGGCACACCATAGGATGCAGAGCCATGTCTTCAACAGGAGATCTATTCCTTTGTCACCACACTAAGTCGCCTTTCTTCAAATTTTTAAGAAAATATAAATTTTAAGCTCATTTTTGTAAATCTAAATAAACTGTGATGACTGCATTCCAGGTCAGCACGTGGAGAGCTTTACCTGGCCCAGAAGCCTCTCATGCATTTCAAACTGATTTCTGTTTTTATTCCTGGCTAGTAATACTCTGAAACAAGACATGTCCCTTTACTCAAATTATATATTTGACATAAAGCCAATTTACAATTTAAAACCTGTATTTTGCTGAAACCTCTTCTCACTACTGTCCTTAAATGAGGGGAGGCTTATCAGTGAAATCATCTTACAGAAACTGCGGGGCCGCAGCCTGACTGCCCCATCGGCAGACCTGAGCCCGCTGCGTCTCTGCCCCGAAGGCACACGCATGATGTGTAGAGTGCCGTTATTTTTGTAGGCAAGGTTTTAAAGAGGGAGTCAACATTTTATTTGGGAAAAGAAAAAAAAAGTCAAAGGCTAATATCCCTGATTGAAGTGGAGCACAAAGTCCACAGAGGACAATTGGGAGAACGCTTTCATAACTTTGAGAGTGCCGATGGCAAGGTTTCTTTTAGATCCATTGAAAAATTTCCAGGCTCTCTTTATACTTATAATGGGCATGCAACCACCTGTCCAGTGTTGTGCTGCTGGCTGTCTTTGGAAGTAACATGATTAAAACATAACCACAGACTTCAATTTCTCTGATGGGGGTGGGGGGGTGGGTGTGGGGGTGTGTGTGTAATTTCAGAATAATCCAGTCCATTAAAAAGCAAACAAAAAACAAGCTAAAAATTGTTTATAATGTTAGTGAAGTGACTAATTGATGGAGCATTAGGAAGCATAATTAATTTTAACATTATCTTCCTAGTCTCATTTTACAGTTTTTGACTTGATTCAGTTACCAGATATTTCTAGGTATAAAGCAAATAAATGAAAAATTATGACGTGACAGTGTAACATTGGTATCATCTTTGTCAACAAAACAGACTCTCAAAACAAGGAGCAAATATGTTTCATTGTATTTATTCTAAAACCATCTATACTGAATCTGCATATTCAGTGATTTTTTTTTGTTTTTTTCTATGATTATCTACCCATCCATATGTTTCTGGTCCCACAATAGCCAAGTTTTTGAACTGACTACTGTGTGAGTGTTATTTTAACGTTTCAGAAGAGTGGTGCTTAAGCAGATCACACAGAAAACTCTCTGAAGACAGGTACATGGATTACAAAGACTTTTCTAGATGGTACCACCGAGGGCTAAAAAAATACCATATATAATACTTATCTTGTTAATTATTAGTATGGTCTAAAATTTCCCTTCTGCAGTAATTAAAACAAACAAACAAAAAAGCTGGATATGAAGAAAGATCCTATTTGAGACCCAGTGAGAAAGCTTACCCTTAATGCCTGGGTGCACAAAAGTCAGTCTGGTTATCATATTTTGCTCTTTATTCACATTTTCAGTCCACCATTGTAAAAAGACTGCGTGAAGGACAATGTTTTATTGCATTTGCATTTTCAATATAGGCACATGACCTCTAGACTTACTGACTTACCGATTTCATTGCGCAGGGAAAGATTCCGAGACAAATTCCTCAGCAGAGAGACTGCAGTCTTTTTCACACTTGCATCACCAACGTGCAGCATCTTCCGGGTGTGCTGAAGGCCGTTTTCCTTCTGGACCACTGCCTGTGCTACTGACATCGGCATCTGTTTGTGAACACGTTCTATAAATACTATCACATGGACTTCATGGTCAGGGTAAGTTTCTGTAGATTACTAGAGACTGAGCAAGATGTTTTAAAAACTAGAGCTGTGACAAAATCAGTCTAAAGCTATTGTTTTTAAACTCTTATTAGGGTTTTCAACTGAATCACTAGATAAAAGCAGTTTATGCAGTATTTTTAAATATAATATATTGGACTTGTTTAGCTCCTATATTTTTGCATGTTTATAAATGAAATGGGCCTGTCTTCTTTCTTTTCTATTGTCAGTCTGCCCTTTATTCATGTTTCCAGTTCATCACCATGACAAGAACATCATAAAGACAATGTTTTAAAATCAAAGTTACACTGTATTTATTGGTTGTTGGCTTATTCGTCTTTTGTTTTTTCTTGTTCAAATTTTGGCATTTTACATATTTTAATAAACAGTCATTTATAAAGGCCAGTTTATTCTGAAAGAGACACTAGACTTTTAAATAAAGAAATGTATTGCTAGTTAGATTATCTGTAATTCTCTGTTGTGTCAAAGGCTCCATGTCCGCTAGAGGCAAATCCCATTTGGAATTAGGCTGGTCCCTACTTTCAGGGCGTCTGAGTTACGACCAGACTCTTCCCAGCATCAACAAACCTCCAACAATACTGACGCCTCCGCTTGTGTGGCAGTAACTTTATAGATTTGTATTTGGAGCAGATGTGAGGTCATCCATGCCAGAAATTTCTGCCATTCATGACCATTTTTCAGGGTTTATCTTCTGTTTATCTTATTTAAACCCTGCTTACCGCCGACGGACTGCTGTCCTCCTTCCACCCCCCACTGCCCAGGAGAACTGGGGCTCTTAATGTAGGTCCGACACAGGTTTCAGGGAGGGGACAGGAGGTCCTTAAAACGACTTCTGTGTTTATAATAAACTTTCTCAGGAAGAAGGTCCATGACTTTTATTAGATACTCAAAGCCCCCTTGACTTAAAAAAATTTAATAGCCACTATTTTAGAATGTGCGTTTTACTGTAAACAAGATACTTTTTCTTTCACTAATTCATAAAACATTCTTTTAGACTATTTGCTGTCCTGGGAGAAGAATCCTTCCCTTGTGGCTATCTAGAGAGAAGGTTATTTATTCCGTACACCCCGTGTCTTGGGCACAAGGTAGGTTTAGCATTCCCCTCTCTTCCCAATGGCTCCTCTGGATATTTATGTCTTTCCTCATATGCAAAACTCTACTCTTCTGACTCATTGCCACCCAGCTGTTGTCACCCCCACAGCATTTTCTTTGTCATCTCAGGAACTGCTGGTCCTTTCCCAATATCTACTGGGGGCCTCAGAGCCTTCTCCACCTCCTATCCATTGCAGATGATGACATAGATTACCTCGCAGTTCCTAGACCTCCTGCATGCCATTGACCTTCATCTCCTCCATCCGTAAGTCATTCACTTCCACGGTCACACAGAATCTGTATTCCCCCAGATATAGCTTGACTTTGAAAACATAAACTCCACTGTTAGACTCTAAACACAACTTCCCGTTCTCCTTGCTTTCTCCCCCTCACTCCTACGGTATTCTTCCTCAGCCTCACCAAGAATTACTGCCCCTTTATCTCAACTTTTACTCACCACTCTTCCCGTTATCGATTCTTTCCTGCCTTAAACTTCTTTCTTATCTAGATTAGGGTACAGGAACCATCACATCAAATACTATCTTTCCAACGCCCTTAACTCCTTTATCATTCTAGCTTTCCCCCCACCCATTCACTAAAACTGAAAAACTGATTTTATACTTGGTCACCAAATATTGCTAAATAGTACATTTGCAGGTTGCTACCTCTGCAAACGTGCAGTCTCCAATCTCCACTAGGAACCAAATGTTGCTAGTCAACTAGTTGTTTCTTAGATACTAAGGGGAATTCCTAAGCCTTACACCAGAAGGATCCTTCTAAAATTTAATCTTCTTATGTTCCACCTCAAGTTTAAACCCTGCAATGACTCCCAATTGCCTTAAGAGTGATGTTGAAATGTCTTAGTATGGCATACACAATCCTTCATTGTCTGGCATCTTCTTTCCTCTTACCTTACCATTACTCCCTAATTCTTTAGGTTACAACTATACTAGCCTGCGTATCTCTCCTATTAGAACAAAAACTCTTTGAAAGGAGAAAATGTAAATTATCCATCTCTTTTTTCCCTCAATGCCTTGTATGGTGCTTAAAATACAACAGGTCCTATATAAATGCTTATTGAAATGAACTGTATGCTGCTATCAAGTTTTCCTGAAGATTTACTATCACCTCAGAGAAACAAGACAGATTAAAGAGTCACAGGTAATTATTTCTTAAAATTTTTGTTTTCTTTTAAAATACAAGATGTTTTTAAAATTAAAATCTTGCTTTATACGTATAACGTACTATACCACTTAATGATATATAATAAAGGGCTTTGATGTTAGTGTATAAAAATAATCACTGGAAACACACAAGCCTAGGTGAACTCTGGATCCTCAAATGACATTTACTCAACCAGGGAAAAGCATAGCCTAGTCTTATTAATTTGGATTCACTGAGGGAAAAGAGCAGTCTGAAACGGAATGCTCTTTAGAATCGGTTCAGTAAGGAAAATGAACAATCAGATTTACCAAAGAGAGATTCTGTATTTCAGCTTTGGCGAATATGTGAGAAGGACTGACAATTACTCGGGGTTAACCAGTCAGTCAACCGTTTGCAAATGGCACTTCTAGTTCATATTGTCCTGTTTACCAACAAGGTTGAACAGTTTTCAAATGATTATTAGCCAGTTCTGTATCATCTTTTGTGAAGTTCCTGGTAAGTCTCTTGTCCCTTTTCCTACTGTGTTGTCTACCTTTTTATTGTTAACTTGATAAGTTTAATATTTTCTTGATACCACCATTTTTAACCTATATATGTTATAAAAATATTTTCCTACTCTGTGGTTTGTCTTTTTATTGGCTGAAAAATGTCTTTTGATAGCACAATAGCATAAGTTATTAATTTTAAAGCAGTCAATTTATAAAATAATTAGTTTATGGTTAGTGCTTTTTTGTGTCCACTTTTAAGAAATCTTTCCCTATTCTAGGTCATGAAGATATTTTTCCATGTTATCATTTAGAAGCTTTATTGTTTTATCTTTCATGTTTAAATGCTGTTGGAATTGATTTTGGGGTAAAGTATGATATGGTAGGGGACACATTTTGCTTTTTCTGACAAAGATCAAACTAAGTTATTTTAAAGTATTTTAATAACTGGAAATCTGTTTATTTCAATGACCTTTAAAATGCTATGTTTAATCCATATATTTATTTATTTTGAAATATAACTCACATATAACATTAGTTTTTAGCATACAATGTAATGATTTGATGTATATATTATGAAATGATTACAATATGTTTAGTTCACATCCATCACCACATATAGTTACAATTTTTTTTTCTTTCTTGTGATGAGAACTTTTAAGAGCTACTCTCCTAGTGACTTGCACACATAGAATACAGTACTGTTAACTATAGTCGCCATGCTATACATTCTATCCCCAGGACTTAAATTTATCTTATAACTAAAAGCTTGTACCTTAATTTTTAAATTTATATTATACTTTTAATTTATACTGTACTTATAAATTTTTACTTTATATTGTAGTTTGCTAAATGGGTAAATTTTACGGATCTATCCCCTTTCCTTATTTAATTATTGGAATGACCATTATAGCTGAACTAATAAAGTCTATTTACTTATTTACTTTTGTTTATTCTATTACAGTTGTCCCAATTTTTTGCTCCTTTGCCCTCTCCTGCCCAGCCCGCCCCCGCCGTCAGCCCCCGTGCCGTTGCCCTCCATGGGTCACGCATACATGCTCTTTGACTAGTCCCTTTCCCTTCTTTGCACCCTTCTCTTACCCCTCCAGCAGCTGTCAGTCTTGAACTAATAAAGTTTATAATAAGGTAGTTTTACTGGTGAGAAATTGTGTCACAATTTTATACTTAAATCCTATAATCTATCTTTTATGAAGCTATTTATCTCAGCTGAGGATCTTTGCCATTTGAGGTATATAGTCAGTAATTGCTTGACACCATCTCAGTTATGAACTCAAGGTTTGCGGACTGGATATTTACAGACTGGATATTTTCTGGAACTATGTGAATGGTCTGCTTTTCATGGTTTTGTATTCAATGATTCTTTTTAGAAGTCGCAAAACCAAGCAGACATTTTATCACACTATCTAAGCATAACAACATCAGGAAAAGCAATGATTAGAAAAGATAATCACAGAAATCAAATTTTTAATAAAAACCATCTCAACCCATAAGAACAAAAGGTCCTTATAACATTGTCCCATGTTGCTAATGATTTCTCCTGTAAATCTCCAGGGAAGCTCAATTCTACAGCCTTGAGTATAGGTTAATACCAGTTTAGTGCAGGCCTCCTTTCAGGGACTGGCCTGCTCCAAGGCTAGGGATGATTCTAAATGCTCTGGCACAACCAGGGCAGTGATGAAGATGTCGCCATGGCTTGGATTCCATGAGAGTCCTTGGAATGCCGGAGGCTAAAATCCAAGCTTAGAGGTTTGCTCCTAGTGAGTCATACTCAGTGCTTAATAAGCTTAAATGCATACACACACACAGCGCAATTTAATTTCTGACATTTTCTTGTAAATTGGCCGGTAGTTAGTAAGAGGGCTTCTTTGGTTTGGGAAAGTGACAGAAATGGCTTTGGGAAACTTAGCATGGGAAAATGAGAAGGTAAGATGATAAACTGACGTCCCTTTTGGTAGTTAACCATTTCTGTTTGTGCAAAAGTATATTTTACAGAGAATCAAACACAAAAAGTTTGTATTCTTAACCATGGTGAAAGGTAAATGTTGGTTTTAGTACTTTACAATATTATTCAAAACATAGCAAACTTCTATGTAAACACATTAAAGAATGAATTTGGTTTCTCAAATAAAGAATGCATAATATTTTTTGTAATCTACAAGAGTGCTTTTCCCTATAAAGATGGATACTTGGACAATGGCCATATGAACTGTTTTGGGAGAATGTATTCTAAACGTTTTATGATCAAGGCAAAGAATATAATAAGTTCAGTTCAAAGAGTTAAATATGTATAGATTCCCTAACTATGTGTAGCAAGATGCAAAATACATGGGGAAGGGAATAAGCTTCTACTGTTTTTCACATTTTGATTGCGCTCATATAAAGTAAGTGAGAAGCAGCTCTTTATTGTGTAGTTGAAGTCCCTGGACACAAAAGCACAGACGTCACTTCCAGCTCCACGCTGCCATGGGCATCTGGTGTGTTCGCCTGCCCAGCACCCATCATTCCTTTTGGTGAGAACGCTCTGCTTTTCCACTGAGATGCCACTACTCCGTCCCCATTTCAGTGCATTTCAGTGGGGCAAGTGGCGGTGACCCTCTCCTGATCAAACCCGCACCTGTGAAATTCACAAGTGGGCAACATTTCCCCAACCCGGCCAATGAGAACATCGCAGGCCCAGGCCACAGGTTCAGAAATGGGAAAGGGCAACTAACTCAGTTCTTAATAGGACAACTGGGGAAATTAATTTCCTTTCTTGTGGGAACATTGGGCTGGATTAAATGTAAGCTTGAAAGCAACAGTGGCCATCGTTGCTTTGACAGGTAGAGATGCATTAAGAATGAAACCAACAGAGGAAAACAGAGCCCAGGGACAGTCAGGATTACGATCGCTGGGGTGCCTGCATCCTGCCATGATGGAAGGAAGACACACCCTGGACTTCACAGTTATATAAGCCAAGAAATTACTTCCTTCCCTTCCCCCCGCCCCCGACAACCTAAGCCAGTTTAGGTAGGATTCTGAGAGAGCTCTGACTCGTATCAGAATCTATGAGCCTTTCACGCGCAGTGACTTGGCTTGGCAGAAAATGAGGCTGAAACTTCTGGAATCCTGCAACTTTCTGGCAATTCCTGAGAACTCTCAAGTGAGAAAACTTGTTCTTAACCTCACTATCTCATCTCTAAACCTAATGTAGGCACGTCTATATTGTCATGACTTTAAAAAGAAGAAAAACAGGCGTGATACTCACTGGTCCATTTCCTGCCGTGAGGTTCTGGAGAGCTCCCAGAGACGCTTCCTGGGTGTAGGTGCGGACACTTTTGGCGATCAAGGAGAGATACATCCGTATCACGATGGAGTGCCACAGCCACTCCACGCCCTTGGGGTTGCTCTTCTCCTCTAGCATCGGCAGGTCCTGGTATTGCTAACCACACACATGACGAAATCTAGAATTAATACCTCCAAGTGATTTCTAGAATTCCACACCCAAACCAAGAGACTAGGAATACTGTCTAGTTTAGAGAGACTAATAATTTGTTTAACAGGACCCTGGAACAGAAATGAAAAGGCAAATGTGTACGACCTCCAATAACGTAACTTTTAGCCCATGATGATGTCGTCTCCCTAGCAACATCCTGTATCCCCCACCTTTACATTTCAGTGAGAAAGAACTCAGAGAATAGAGTACAGGCTGTTCTAAAATAGTTTTCAGGCTGCTGTTAAACTAGAAGTTAAATTAGGCACAAACACTCGGAAGATAAGAAAGACAGGCCTCTTCCCTCAGAGTCTAGCAAAGTGGTCCGGGATCACATCAGGATTCTAAATTTACCAGTTGTTTCCAAGTTCACAAATGCCACAATACTCTGAGGAGTAGAAGAGGCCAAATTCTTTCAGTTTTCATGGAATGCCAGTATGGACAGTATTCCTTTCTATGGGTTTTGCCCATAGGATGTCCAAAGTTTGTTTTTAGAATGTCCAACTCTGAATATCAGGGCTGTTTTTAATTTTAAAACAACATATACCACCGGCCACGTTGCACTAAGCCTATTTCCTAATCTACAGGGAATAAAGCAGTATGGTTTAATGGCTAACAATGCAAATCTGGAGCCAGACTGCCTGGAATTAAATTCCATCTCCTCTACTAATTTGCTAAATTATTCTGGGAAAACTGATTAACCTTTCTGTACCTGTTTCCTTTTCAGTAAATGAGGGTATTAACAGCATACACCTTCTAACACTGATATAAGGATTAAAATAACTCAAAATAATGCCTGACATATGGGTGGGGAAAAGCTAGTTTACAGTTGTTCGTATGGAAAAATAATATAATAATTAGTAAATAATAATACAAGAATAAACTCCATGTTTCATGTACTCACAACTATAGATCTACTCTTGCCCACCCCTGTATACTAAGTACTCAGAAATATACACACGCGAACACTTTTTCTTTCAAAGCCCTCCCAAGATACCTCTTTTACTTTCCGGCTTCGATTGCCAAAACACCCAATACTTTTGTTGTTGTCAGTCTGGATATTCCGGTTTTGAATATAGGCATTCTGGGAATATTTCTCTGGGAGCTCTGCCTCCAGCTGGTAGGAGAGGTTATGCAGAATGCACACACAGTTCTCTGTGGCCTGAGAAAACAAGACATGAACATTGATCACATACATATCAATTCCCTCTGCAAGTGTGATGTCGCAGGACCTAGTCACAAGGTTTACTGGATGCTTAGACTGCAGACAGCCCAGGGAGTGGAATGAGCATGGCTGTAAAGGCTCAGGCTGGATCATAAAGGGTCAGGAGCAAAATGCTAAGGAGTAAAGGCTGAATTTCTTAAAACACTGGAAAGCCTTCTTAGTTTACTTTTTAAGAGTGTGTTCAGAATGATTCTGTACTTTAAGTACATAACGTACTAACCATGAGCAGTTGGAAAACAGGAAGAGATGTTATTTATTTGTCGGGACCAATCAGGTGACAAGTGCAATAATCAGTGTGCAAGGCGCACAAACTAGGACTACAGAGGTGGCATTAGCTAGGAGTAGATAAACCAACGGGCACCTCAGAGGGAGAATGCACATGTTTGCGGCTCGGTAGATGCGAGCTGTGAGGCGGGATAGTCTGAGATTACTCGGATTTCTATTTTTATTCGGTGGATGGTGGTAATTATTAACAAAGATTACAAAGAGAAGGAGAAAGTTTGGGGATGAAGCAAGAGATGAATTTAAGTTCAGTGCTAATCACATAGCATTTGGGTTCCTTTCAAATATCTACACAGAGCTGTTAAACAAATAGTTGGAAATTTAGGTCTGGAAAGGAGAAAAATGGGCCTGAATAGATTTTACTTTTTCTAAGCATGAATGGGAAATCTCAAGCTCACTAAATGAGTTAATGAATAAAGCTAAACCCAAACAGCTACTTGAAGGACACTCAGAAGAGTCAGAGTAAGATAAAATAATTCACTATGTAAAATATTTAACTCTTGCATCACCTTGTCATCTGGCTGGTAATCTGCAATGGTTCCTCGGACATAATGCACCAGTGAGTCAATGAGTCCATCACAGCTTCTCATCACCTTCCTCCCATCTGGGCCAGCTGAGCTCATGTTTCTATCAGAAAAAGACAAAGAAAAAGTCACAGGACTTAGGCCATGCATCCAAAAGGCCTTTGTTTCAAAGCTTTACTTGATGCTTCTTCCAAGGGTGTGGAAAACTGTCAAATTTGCCAAGGTGTGATAGACTGACTTGTCCTGGGGTCTATATCAATTGCTCAGTGGTCATTAAATTTGGACACATCTTCCAAATATATTCATATAACATATCACCATCAATAAAAGTCTTCCGTCTACTTCATTCCAAGCAACAAGGTCATAGCATTACTTACTTAGTCTTTACCCCATTTTTGACAGGGTATACATATGAGGTGAAGATTTTGCAATTAACAGAACAAATGACAACATACATGGTGTACTAGATAGTGAAGTCCCAACTAGTTCTGTGCCTTAAGTGTAACATACAAAGAGTTACTAAAATTCATTGAATCTCAGTTTCCTCATTTATAAAAATAGGTTGTTGGACTATATTATGTGGGAGTTTTGTAGGTTTCAGTGAAAGCTGTTATTGACAAATATTAAATCAGATGCTCTAAAAACTGATGATTCTATACTTAAAATGGCAGAGAGGTGTCATGAAAAATGCAGGGTTTCACAGTGTGTTAGACCTAAGTTAAAAATGACCTATAAATCTCTTTGCACTTAGTCTATTTCTAATTTTGCTAAGCCACGGCACCTTTCTATAAACAGTAACTAAATCTACAAGTAGAGGTTGTTTCCTTATAGAGAACTGAAGCTTACGGAATACAGTAATGCATTTGGGGATCATGCTTATACTCAGGTATTATTGTTACCATATTCCATTGGTTTAAGTTTTTCTTGTTAGCATCAGACATTTAAAAATATTTTCCCCTAAAATGTTAACATCTTTGTCAGTAAGAATGGCAAAAAAATAAAGCAATGCCTTTTGCTAACTTCAATTGCTAAGAACTATTCCTATAAAATTTATCAGACTAGTTCCTTTTCCTGGTAGGCAGAATATTCAAAGCACATTAAAGGCGTGTTTATAATGTCTCAGTGTCATCCTGAATGTCAAAAGAACTAACAATTCTGAGAACTTCTGGGGTCTCATTTTTTTCATTTTAAAAATAATATATTGCACTAGGTGATTTCAAAAAGGCTTTCCGCTCCCAAATACTACTTTCAATACATACTGCCAGAGAGCAAGCGTGCCCAGCGTTACAGCAAGAACTAAAGGGAGCAAGGGAGGAGCACGCAGCACTGTGCCCTGCTCCCACTCACGTATACAGGTGGAAACTGAAGATACTTGACTGTTTCAACCCGCAAAAATGTAATTTCATGATTCAGCCTTATAGTTGAAGAGGTAACACCAATACACCTAAAACTAAGGATATTCTAGCAATTTAAACGTTGCTGAATTGATACAACCAATTTTTTATTTTAACAAAACCCCTTCTGTGACTTTGGTTCTCTTTGACATTTCTAATTAAAGATTAGCTTCCTCACTAAATTTTTACTGTACCTGAAACACTTTGACACTTTGTACATTAAAAAAAAAAAAAAAGACAATGAAAGGGTTCATAAACTGTTAATAAAACCATTTTTACTATAGTTTTTTTCTCAAGAAGTGATCATTTGAACCAATCCTCCATCTACTCTCTGAGCCCGTCTCCTTATTTTACACCTGGAAAAACTGACGTCCGAAGACTTTCAGTTACTTTTCCAGCTGACAGCAAGTTAGTGGTCAAGTCAGGACAGGAGAGCTGCTCTTCATTCTGTGCCCTGGGCGGCTTCAGAGCAGAGCAACACTCATTTAACATTCCCTCAGTCTGCCATTTGTTGAGTAAATACCATATGTCCCCAATTCCAAGACAAGGCTATCGTGCTTTAAAGCTTCCTTTGACCTTTTCAACTTCTGGCTTGGAAAAATGAGAGTAGTTTAAGGTTGCTCTGACAAAGGTTGGTCTTTCTCACTAGCTAAACCCACTACATACCACCCAGAAGGGTGACTTAGCTTTGTTTAACTTCAGGGTGTTTATTTTGAGTGAGAATGGTGATGCAGCTTGCCAGCACTGACAGTTCACACGCACTAACTGTTGTCTGGTTGTTGGGTATTATCCAGGCTCTACTTGCTTGAAATGGGACTTATCAGGGGTTTCTGGCAGTTGATACCTTTGCTGACAGAAAGCACATGGAACCCCACTGCTTCAGTATTTGCTTCTGCATATCAAAGATAGTTCCTCCCTTACTCAACCACCCAGAAATATGAATGATAAGGGTGTATCACTTTATAGCACTACATCCATGAATAGAAGTCACTAGTCGGAAAGGAATTCATTATTATACCACCCAATAGTTATTAGAAAATAATATATCCATCTTGAAGTATTTTTCAACAGCTAATACTTCACTTTGTGGGAATCAGAGGATTAACATGGCTAATTTAGGCAGAATTGATCCTTTTACAATATATCTCCTGAATCCTGAGAAATATTTATCTATAACTGTTTCCTATATATAGCTCAATAGAGAGGTTTAATATGGAAAAATATCTCAAAACTATAAACAAAATATATCAAAAATGATTATCTTGTTGAAATGTAGAAGAGAATGAGCATACAGAGTAGTTACTCAATAAATATTGATTATTAGAGTTACCAATGAATATACTGGAAATATTTAATTTAGTGTCTATTGTTTGAATTACATTAAATGATGAGTTTATTTTCAGCTGGTATAAGCCAACAGAAATCAGAGTAAATATGGGGGTACCATTTAGGAAACTAAAACTGTATACTATTGCATACTAAAGTTTAAATTTAAAAACCAGGTCTAGACTGGTGTTGGAGTTTGCTTCCCCTCCCTGCTCTCCCCCATCCCCCCCCCGCCCCGCCCCCCGCCTAAGGAAGGGGAAGTGGAGAAGATAAAACAACTTCTCACAGAAAGGCAGAATTATTTTAGAGCTTTTTACCTCCACTGGGCCTGAATGAGAGGATGCCAGCTTGAACTGTAACTTGTGTTTGATATTAGGAGAATTTCCTGGTGATATGACTTGTAAGGTGTGGGAAAAATAGACTGAACTGTGTACCTCTCTGAACAGAACTTCACATACTTAGGATTCAGGTGTTTTTATCTGAAAGCAAATAAGCAATTCATGACTCGCCCCAGAAGCACTAATCTCACTCATTCCTCAGTGTCACAACGAAAAGAAGGGAAAAATCAAACACTCTGAGCCATATTAGAATGAAAAGAAAGAATGGTGTGTCTTTGTTGAGATTAAGGACAGTGTGACTAAACAAATTCATATGGCACATCAAAGAATGGACAATTCCAAATGATAAAAGTAGCTGCAATTTAAGTGTGTATTAGACAGTACCGTAAGTATTTTACAAATACCACGAACTGTAATTTTCACAAAATTCCTGATATTAAGGTTCGCTAAAATCTCATTCAGAATCCTGACTTCTAACCCTTTGTTTAAAATCAGAATTACCTGCTTCTAACAGGATTTTCACTGGCGCTTCCATAAAAGGGCTGTGTGTGCGTGGCTACACGCAGGTGTGCTGTCTATTAGCCCGTCTGCCAGCACTGAAAGTCCAAACTCGGTGGATGGCCAACCGGCCTGGGGAAACGATGTGCTGATATGAAATGTTTAAAGTAAAAGGGTACAATTATTTCCAGGACATGAAAATAGCAGATAATAACAGGGTGGAGTGAATCTTTTCAAGACACTTTGCCAACAAAATAAGTAATTCTCAGGGGCAGAGATTTTTTTTTTTTTAAATGGGACCATTTCTACAGGTAATAGGTGCAGTTTCCTAGTAATATTCAACACTTGTATATGTGCGCATTGGATGCAAGACCTACTGCCTGTGGGGCCAGTCTTGAAGTTCTAACTAGGACACTGAGACAGTGATCACCTCAATAGTTTTTAAAAAATTGTGGGTGCGTCTTCCTGTTCACCAACAATTATAGGCTTCCTAATATCAAGGGTTGTAAATTGTGCAGTAGTATCAGTCAATTAAGTACTTGGTCAGAGTCCATTCTAAGACCCAAGAGGCACTTGATAAGACACTGACTGATAAGGAGGCATCCTTCTTCCTCTTGGTATTTGAGATTTAGGTCTGGGCTTTTGTCTGACTCTCAGCTGATACATCTCAGACAGTTGGGCCTTGTCTGTGATTAACCCAGAGAAAGCAGCAATGGTTGCACAGAACAAAAGAGGAGCCTCATTTGAACTGGCAGAGCAATAAAAGTCGCTGCTCAAAGAAGGGCTTGTCTGTTTTCCGAAGTCAACATCAGATCCTGAGGGTATCCGCAAACATCAGCCTAAGTCAACTGTTATATCTGCAAACAGAAGCAACATTGGGAGATAGAACAAAGCTCTACCACCTACATGTTTTGTTCCTTTTGGACAAGGAACATTAACTGAACAAAGATATGTCAGCATCTGTTACACATCAAGAAACCAGAACGTGGAGGAGAAAAATCTACCCTTGAAATCCTTTAGTTTTGCTTCCCTGCATTTTTTTTGGTCTTCCAAAGGCATTCTGAGTAGTCGGTGCAGCTGGTAATCATCTGGTTGGTAGGCAACAGTCATTTCCCCTTGATTTAGCAGGCTGTTCAAGGTAGAGTGCCAAGTTCCACTTAAAATCAATTATAAACAGCAAATGAATTTCTGAAATATTCCCAGAAGCCCCTGGAACTTGAGTAGACATTCTTGACATCTAAAGAAGAGGTCGAGTTACCAGACTAGATAGAACTGATGAAGATGCTCAAGGAGAGAACAGTATGATGCTTTGATGGCCGGCACCTCCAAGATGGATGGATTCTAACCACAGGATAGCAAGAGAGTTATTAGCGGCTTTATCTGAATATATCAAATCACTCATTTTAAAAATAATGATGGATTAAAAAATTTTAATAGTAGTTCTGACTATGATAATAGTCTGCAGATTTTTTTTTTTTTAAAAGACTTTCAGTGTCATAAGATATAGTTAAGAAAATGCTATCTTAAATTGTAAGCCATGCACAATT